CATAGCACAATGGGCAAACTAGGCATAAATTGGAGAGCGAGGTAGGGAGAGAGGCGGAATGAGCGAGGATAAAAGAAAAAGTGGATCAAAATGTCAAAAGAAGAGTACATCCGAGTAAAGCAATTTAAAAATCACTGAACACCTGTTGATTTTCTTTGATGATTTTATCTCAATTAGCTTTTATTGAATTTAGTATAATTTTCAGAAAATGGGAAGTGGTCAAGCAAAGAGCTACCGTACAATACACAGAGAATGGGAAAATCCCGGCTCGAGATGTGAGATCCGAACACGCGTCCTTTGGGGTGATAGTTTGGTGACCGTGACCGCTTGAAAACCACCGCCATTTTGGGTTGTAAGAAATCAACCATTTATGAACTGAGATTTTGATACATAAGACCCCAATATTTTTATTTTGGTTTTTATTAAGTGTATATTTCTAAATCGATTCAGTAGAGGTAAAAAAAATTACTGAATAACTAAAGTTATTGCATTTATTGCCGTAGTGGTTATATTTGTGTACTATAACATAGCAAGCCAATAACTCACTTGTTGCACACAAACGATCTAGCAATATCCCTACAAAATATTCTGCACTGATTCTTTTCTGTTTCGCTCACACCAACGATTTCAGATCTTGAGCAATCTATTGGCAAAATCACCACCCAATCAGTTCCTCCAAATCAACGGTCCTTTATTGCTTTGTCAATTGGGAATCGTGCGATGTCGACTTCTTCGGACAGTCGCCGACACTATTCGATTGCTCCCTTCCGACCTCGAGGACATGTAAGTTGATCGGTGCCCTAGTGAATGTCGCTCGCATTAGCGTAAGTTTTCTATCGTCGATGGGGTGAGTATTGCTCCAGAACCACGTACCACTTGAAAAATCAGACGAACAAACAGTCGAGATATAGGCGTTATCGATCAAGTGAATGAACAATGCATTAATACGAAGAACCGAAAAAGTGTAATAAGTATCACTCACTATCAAAATGATTTTCAATTAATACGATGATCACATTTCCTCCACGAGTGAAGCAGCCACACGTATCATTGTTTTTGGTGAACAAATGGGTCATTTTCTCAGATTTATGACTGGCACAAGAACAGAAACCATCACACCAGCAATAAACGGTTATTGTCATGTTAGGTTACAGTGACTTTAGAGCGGAAAACCGCCTAAATGTCTGAACAGATCTGATTTTTCATCGATCCCTAAAGTAGCTAACCTGTTCTGCGCCAAATCGGGCACTAAGTTTGAACAATGAACTGTAAGGTAGTTGAATTCAATAATAATATAATCTTTATTGCCAGTGAATCACAACAAGTAACAGTTCAGAGTGTATGCTCGGATCTTGCTCATTATGCTCTAGAACAAAACCGTCCTAATGTTCAATAATACAACATTTTTAAACCCACTGTTCCATTATTTGTGGAGCTAAAAATAAATTTCACCGTAATACACGTATGAATAAAACCTAGTGTAGCCAAATTGCATCATTTATGCTCGGATGATTGTCTTGCATCACAAATGTTACTCACCGTTGAAAAAACACAAGATTTACACAAGGATACAAAATTGTTCCACTTCAGTGTGAATCGGAGTGAAAGGTAACAACATAGAGCAAAGCAGGATTGCGGAACAGATCCAAAGATTGACTGCACCAGCTTGACTGTTCCCCGATATTTTATTATTAGGATGAGCAAAGACCGCCCTCATCGCTTCCACCCCAACAACACGGTGCCACATTGTAATTGTGGATCTCAGCAACTGATGTGCTTGACTCAAGTAACCAATCGATTGTGTGACAAAAGAAAACAGGTTTGTTCCCTTATCTATCCATACATCTTAAATCATCCGCCCAGATGGCTGTGTTTCAATCAGTGTGAGGCCAATTTATATGCCACCTTAGGAATGAATCTATTTTGAGTATGCTACACAGAGCAACATTTATTCCGTAAAGATTTCCCTCTCCTAAAAACTTACCAATGCATTCTAGTTTTCGCCATGGAATCCCTTTTAGCGATTTGTAACATAACCGTGTTATGAAGAATATTCCATTTAATCGAAATACGACTCATAAGGATAACAGCTACAATTTTTTTGAAAACACAAAAAATCACTTTCACAAATTTGTTTCATTTCCACCTTATGCTGGTTTAACATATCTGCATCCCCAGGTAGACCGAGACCCACAGTAGAGGAAAATTGTGGCCATTCACAAATTGACCAGAAACATATTTTCGGCGGTACTCAGCGTGTCAAGAATTAACTTTGGTTAAAAAGCCGGATAAGAATATATAGGTAAACTTAAGACGATGTAATTTATTTCAGTGGATACATTTTATTAAGGGAAAGTGGTTGAAAAGTCAACACAAATATAACCTTCCAGCATTCAAAAGATCTGTTTAATCGTTTCACTCCATTAGGTTGATTAAGTAGCGTGCAATGAAAGAGTTTCTCAGTGGTCTGAATATGAGACTAAATATATCTTGAAAGTAGTCCCACAGAGCAGATTAAAAAAAAACAGAATGGCGAACAAGCATGTTTTACGTGATAAAATAAATGTAAAAAAATAAAATTCGTATTCATGGCGTTATATCACAATATATATGTATATATCACTACCTGGGAATAAAATTGTCTTGGGGCATTTTCCCGAAGATACATGCACCTTTTCAGTTATTACAGATGTGAACACTGTAACTCGTTTTTGATCGTTGTGAGAAACCGCCAACTGCATCCTTTTGCGCTCTCCATCCACACTACTCGCATTTGTGAGTAGTATCTCACGACACTTCTCCGCCTGCAAACGTTTAGGTCTGCATATACTGAGCAATGACGTCCTTCTTCAAAAAACATTGAAGACTTTGTCCTCGGTTGAATTTGGCGGTGGGTTTTATTGCACGATTTTGGAAGATCTGACAGGTGTTTGATTTATGAGGGCCCTGTGGTTTAAGGCAATTGTCTTCGTGCTATCTATCCGGTTTACTTGATGTACTCACCAATTGTTGCCTATCTACAGAAACATATTTACTGGATTCTCTTCTATCCGCTTTCGACACGAATTTCTTCACCAAGTAGTAACTTGTTAGAGCCATGGTGGCCGACATTGGTTGCGCTCATCGGTTTATCTTGCAATCTTACACAATGTTAATTGCTCTTTTTTCTCAATGGAGATAGTCTGATTCGCTGCACGGTTAAACTGCGGCTCGTATTCTCCAACTGTCTCCACTGCAGCATCCTAGGCTTCTGCTGACTCGGTCAACTGACATTTCACCAAAGATACTGCAGCCTTTGTATCACGTAGACATGGCTCTTCCTGATCCCCAATGTCCAAATGGTTATAGTCTGAATGATGATCGACCCCTCCGGGAACAGCGATTTAAACAAAATCAGGATTGTTCTTACGAACATTCTGCACAGTGTTTCTTGACCGTTTCTGCGCTAGCACTCTGGCCATTCCCCTTCCTGACGGTGTTTTGAGCGTAATCTGCTTGGGGTTCTACACCGTCCTCCGTCAGTCTATTGAGTGTCTCCCGAATTCCCGTAGGCTGAAGCCTAGGCTCTCATGTTGACCGGGTAGTGGTAAAAGTCCTCCAAATGAACTCCCTCATGAGATTCACCAGTTTGAATTCATCCATGGTTTTCTCGGTATTAGCTATCAGTGCCGTCTCCATCAAACCCTTCATTAGGCTATCCGTGTATCAATCGATGAGTAATTCCGAATACACAGCATCTTCCAAAGCTCGATACAACAGGTAGCTCAGAGTCACGGCTTGCGAGATAAGGTCCACACCATCCAGCAGCGCTGGAATGCCTCTTTGCGGTCAGCAGTTTTCTCCAAACTTAGGGTCAGGAGTTCTTCGCGGCAACCCACTCCGAGCACTTACGCGCCGCCTAAAACATCGATAAGCCTTCGGTAGGCCATCAGCTTACCCCGTTTCTTCCATACCCTCACTGGAGCCGCGACATCCTCAATCTCCTCCAGGAAAGTCCACAAGTCCCCATCCTCGAAAGCTGTAGGCCATGGAACATTCATCCTGGGGAATGGCACCATTGGTATATATTCACAAGACAACTCTACTATCGATGAGTGGTATAAGTTAGATCATCATTACATTTCACCACGGTTCAAGTAACCATGCACCACAAGTGAGCTGCATCGAATGCGAAAGCCTACGTGATGCCTAACGCGTGTACGGTTTATTGAAGGGAACAAAGTTTGTGCATGATGACGTAGTTCAAAAGATTATTAGATTGAATCGAAGTTCAGTGATAGTAACCTGTTTCTAGAGATTGCTTGGGGAATAAATTGCCTATTGTATATAAGTTGTAAGTCTGCATAAACGTATTCAGTGCACAATTTTTTCATAACTGATTTTGGGCTTTTCGCATAAACTAAGACCACTAAAGTGATAGTTGTAGGTGTATTCAGTTAAAATGTTGGTTATCTGTCTGACAGTTCATATGAAGTAGTCACAATTTCAAGTATTTATTCTGAAGTGAAGTTGTTCCTTTCTAGGTAACCATGACCGAGGTCTATACAATAGTTACCATCAATGGGTGTCTTTAGTGCACCGCAAGTAATAATTTGTACACCTTTGTTTTTAGTAACATGTCAAAGGAAACTATGGTTATGCTGTTACATTATAAACAAATTTAGTCATTTCATTCATGTGCCTTCTTCTGTGATTCGTCAAGCGTTTTGGAGCCTTTGATTTACCCTACCTTTCTGGTATTGTCAAGTTGCCAATTGGAATGAAGCTAGCGGCATAAACAAACGATACAATATCACCCTTGTTTTCTCTGAATAATCGCAAACAGCCTGAATTTACGGGATTCAGTAAAATCGGTTTTTTCTTCCTTCGAACGTAGTAGTATACACCAACAGTTAAAATATCGAGGACTTCAACACTAATCCTTAATTAACTGTCACCCGTGGAAACGTTTGGTCAGGAAAATCGAAAACAAATCTCTTCTAGCGACAATTCTGTCATCAATGGATCCAAGTAAGCATATATCCAACAGTTAGAAAACACTATATAGATATTGTTGGTCTTATCGAGAGCACGAATCAATTGACGCAATTGAGGATGGTGCACTTGGTACCTCACAAATAGAATGCACTGATACTAGATACCTCCAGCAACTGATTTACATGTTACATTGTGACTGTACACAGTGTAGCACGAAATACCTTCGCAAACTCATTGCTAGCACACAATCAAGCTCTTATTAGTTTATGATCACTTGAGTAAACCTCTGAACCACATTACTTGTTTCAAGAAGACAGTGAATGGATCAATACGACTATAAGGCTGTATTCTGTTGTGTTCAAATCCGAGGGAATATTTTCACTCCCTCAACTGGGTTCTCCGGGTCCACTTAGAGAAAAAACGCAATCACGGAATCAAATTCACCTGCCAATGAGGATAAGAGTCAGTTTGAAAACGTGGATAATTATACTTGATATATGGTGGATATGTTTTAGAATTTTGTTAAGCAATCCTCTACCTAAACAATAAAAATTGAGACAAATTTCAACTTCCAGCAATCATTTCTGTCCAAAGTTATCGATTATGTATACAACTCTGTATTTCCAAATCGGTTTGATGAATACATCAGTAAAGTAAGATAAATTATTCTGACAACGGAAAAGAATTGCTTGCCAATCAGAATGTGTCGTTTAACATAGAGTGCGAGGTCGATGCGGATTACAACTGATCACAATATTCTGTCAGTGAGTCGTTTGTTTTGTGAGTAACCATGTGAGAAGTTGGACGGAAATGAGATCAGGTTTTATACATAAGTCTGGCACAAAAAGTATTGTTGCGAATATTAACCGACTGCATATCATATCTGTTTATTTTGATGATATTTTAGCGGCGGGGGCATGCACTTATTAGTGGTTATAAGTGCAAATAAATCTGGATTCATACTCTATCCAGACTCTCTGAATCTCCATTCGCCATCCGGGAACAGTTTATCTTGTTTTGGAATATCTGAATGCATAGACAGAGATGAATAAACATGGCGCAATGGACAATGACAACTAATCTAGTGAATAGCAAGAAAGCACGTATACACGTGTTCACAGGATGCACGGAAGGGTGTGGTTAGGATACGACTAGACTAATCCTGACTGCAGGGATTCTGTTGCCCGTGGTTCTGAAAAGTTTGCATAGTGTCATGGTAACAAACAACTGGCACTGTTTCCGGTCCAAGCGCTTGATTGACGTGACCCAAGACAAATAGACGGGACAGATTGGAATAACTATTCTTTTATCCAAACAGATTCACGCTTGAATGGATAGACAACTGACAGCAGCATCAAGTTATTTCTGTTTATGACAGATGTGGCGAGTTTGATTTTCAAAATGTTAGCTAGTTGAATGATACGAACCATCAGTGTGGAATCCTCGATGTTTGATCATTATGTTTAATGCAGGTGATAAATGATAGTAGAAGCAATCCCTAAATTGAGAACAATACATTGTATTAAACGAGTTCAGCTTCGGGTATTTGTAAACATATCAAAACATAAAACTAACTGTGGTTAGCAAAAGAAGGAAGGCGGATGAAAACTTACAGTTCTTATGGTTCATATTCGGCTCAGAGAGTGTGTGCATGTGTTGAGTTGATCACAGTATCGAAAGTTCGAATTGTTGCGCATATGTTTGTGTAGAGGCTTTGTTTATTCAACTGTTCCAGTGGAACTCGGACTTGTGGCCGATCATCTGATCCCGGTCGCAGGCACTGTTGACTGTCTGGGATATGGGTTTCACTTATTGGGAGATTATCGATTCTCCACTACTGGAATGCATTGAAGGACGATGGAACTTTGTGTGGTGACCGCCAAAGAGCACTGGACATCTGTTCCGTCCTGCTTGGGACTCATCATCAGCGATTACTTTGTGTCGATGTCGGGATAGGAACCGAGAATCTTTGTGTTGGGAATCCAACCTCCAAGTTGTTTTTCTGGCTAATCAATTGTACTGTACAAAGGATATCATCGAATACAATCGATAAGACGTTCTATTCATCGAGGTTTCATCTGTTGTTCACGTTTAAGCCAATTATGTGTTTGCAATTGAAAAGCAAAGTTCCCACCACTAAGTTTTTAGCCGGTACATAACTATTAACTCGGTTCTGTGGTAAAACACACATAGACCGCACGGTCAGGTAATTGTCCGAAAGGATTCGTGAAGACTTCGTTGCATGGCTAAACACCAGAAAGATTGGGTCATTCACCGGTGCGTTGGTTTCACAGCTAGCTGTGAAAGTGGCCGAGGCTTACCTCTCCCTGTATCATGTTTTTGTGCAATTATCAAGGCAGGATTGCTATCGGATGTCGGCCACAGAAAAAAAGCTATAAATGCGGATGCACAAGCCCTTCTCTGCGCCCCGAAAAATCCATGCAGACGCTCAAGCATACTTGACCAATCCACTCTAGCACCAACCATATCACGAGTAATCTCGGTGATTAGATAAGTGCGCAAACAATTATTTGATCGTTGAGAATTCGATATCCGGTTTTATAAATAAATCAATTCAAGTATTCCATGCTTTTATTTTATTTTTCCCAGACAGTTATATTCCGAAGAACTGATATATATTATGATTTATCGGCATGAATACGCATCATTGAAAACGAGCTTCTTCGCCACTTCGTTGATTAGTGTGAACTATTGGTTCCTTTCATCAATCTGTGAAAGATAGCTCAAGGCTATAAAGCTTGAATTATTTTGAATAACCAGTGACGACGAGTCGCAACCGAACGTGAATGCTTTAGGGATTCAAGATATTCAAATGTATTCTTCCAACTGCTATCGTCAAATAGACGTTAAACCGGCGGTTGTTCATGCCACCTAAAGGAGAACATGATGGTGATCTAGCTCAAAATATTCAGACGATTTCCAACTCTTAGAGCCCAAAAAAGAGAACTTATTCTCTCAGACTGCTTGAAACAAGCTCATTTGCAGCATATTCTATTTAAGTTAACTTTGCCAATTCATTGAATACTGATATACATTACGGAGAAATCGGACTGTTCCATTGATTCGATGAAGATAAGTTAATTTGCCATTTAGTTGCAAGGAGAGATTTTCCACCATAGTTTTACTGTACTGAAGTAATCTTGGACAAACAGTTGTGCAAATGGTGCTCGGTGGTGGCATCGCGTTTGAGCGTCCCGTTTTCAAATTGAACTAGGAATGGGACCAAGGCTTGTTATTTGTAGTCAATATTAATTGGATAATAACGAAAACTCTGAATGATAAGCACGTTTTGTTGCATTGATATTCAAGTGGGTTAACTACTTTTCAAAGACTTCCGGAATTGTGCTGTTCTTATACCTTCACAACAACAAAATAGTTTCGAGAATTCACTTATTCAGCAAAAGGAAAAACGGATGCAAATCGGTCTCATTCTTTCAGGTACCATGTTATTTTTGTTTGCGGGAGTTTTGGTCCAACAGGATAAAATTCATTAACTCCAGTTGTCAGACTGCAAATTTCCGTATTCATCCTTACAACGAATGGTCAAATATGATCAATTTTTTGGATACATCTTGATGTCGTTCACTGTGTGTCTATGTAGCTTTCGATCACGTGGCAAACATGGCGTGTCTAAAGACGGACTCCATTATATTCACACCGAAGGGCAAGATATTCAACTGCGAGTTTCCATAGCTGTTTGCCAAGGAACTATTTGATCAATCATAATTGTTTTTATTTTTACGGACTTGAGCGTTTTAGATCCCCCTACTCTTACTTCTACGTATGTAAACTTTGAATAAAGCTTTTAGGTCTTTTCGGCTGGTTATTTATTTTGGATTACACCTCGGAAAACAGGTAAGAGTTTGCCATCTAAAAACGCCTTTATTGTAAACAATAATTGATTATCTTATGATTATTGTGTGTTCAATTTTCAAGAGTCCTCAAAATGGACTTATAGGTGATCATGTAGTTCAGCATCAACACCACCGCCTGATCCCTCTCAAATTCTTTCACGTGGAGGAATTGTGATTAATTACATAGATAATCCCGAACACTTTTTACCAGTGCATACTAAATTACGGAAACTAATAGAATAAAGGTATGATATTCAACTGCGGGTTTCCATATCTGTTTGCCAAGGAACTATTTGATCAGCGTATTTTGATCATGATTTGTTTGTTTCTACGGGCCTGAACGTTTTAAATTCCCCTGTACTTACCGCTAAGTATGGAAACTTTGAATTACACTTTCAGCTCCGGTGGGTTATTTTTCTGGACTACAGCTCGGAAATTAATGGAGTAAAAAGTAAAATTCGTAATATCGGTGAAGTGAATGGTGTGAAATTGAACTATTGACAAGTATGGCGCAACGATACTTAAGGTTCCGCGTGGTGGGTAATACAGTATTTGAACAGGAACCAGGAAAACCATTTAAAAATGTGAATCCACGTATATCCACGATTACTCCCAGTGGTTACCATTTTAGCATCGCTAAACGGAAAGGAGTTTCGGAAGCGAAGAATTTCTAGGTTTCAGGTTTTCATTACCAATTAGGTTTGCCACTCCTCCATTTTACATTTGTAGTCGTGTTCACATTGGAGGAGCATAAAGTGCGATTTGAATCAGGCTCAAAATGCAAATAAGCAATCAACCTGAACAAATCTTGAATTACGTTGGCAAACAAAATGATGGAACTTTTAAGGCAAGCAGTTGGTACAATGTTGACCAAGCGGTTCGACAGAGTAGTTCTATTCAGACGTGAATGATCTGCCATACCTGTGCGCACATGCTCTGTGCAATTTGATTTGAATTGAGTGGTGAATCTGACATGCTCTCTACTTAAAATTTCAAACGAATTGCTTATCGGTTGACTGTACTTGAGAGTATTTGAGTTTAATGATGGTCAGTCATCCAAACACATGATTAGGTGCGTATCGAAATCAACAGGCTGAGAACTAATTGCACGGAGGAATTGAACACTACGAGACTCACCGGTTCAAACGGAAAATGTTACATTAAACGGAAACCGTATTCAAAACAAGCTGGATATTACCGATGACTGAAATCCTTCCTGGAGGTAATGCCAGTTGTGTTAAACCATACTTTTAATTATCCAATCCAAGCCAATGCCTAAATACCGGTAATTAAACATTCGGAAAATGCACACTGCATGCCAGATTTATTCTTACTGTGATTGTTCAGTGAATGGTGGTGAGATCTTAAAAAGGTACCTAGTTGTATTCAACCTATCAACTTTCGAATATCATAGTTTGCTTCAATATTCATTTTCAGGTAGATGCTGCATGACGCGTTAACTGTCTTTTCTGTTGTGCTCTATTTTATGCATTTATTTGAATGACATTTACGTTGCTAGGATTTTGATCTTCGTATTTGACAATTTTCATTGCTTTATATGAATATCTGTCTTTATCAGTCTATTACTGTCATATCTCACATCCCTTGATATTGAGCAGTAACATACTGCGTGCACAACCAGGTGATTGGAAACAGAATCGTAACGAACGTGGCCGAAGAGGTAAGTACATTTTCCTATACAATGTTTCATAATTGCTAGAGTCTTAGTTATTTCGCCAATAAAACAGAACACTTGAAACAATTGAAACAATGAAAGTGAAAGAATTATTATCTGTACTATTATCAGTGGGAGAACAGTTGAAATATAAAGAACTAAATAAATGGGTTGCGTTGGAAGCAGATGCAGGTTGTATGTTGAAATGAATCCCCAGATAATAAAATTAGTCGCCTTCCTTCACGTTTTTGAAGTACATGCACCCTAAAAAATGAACCCTGGCACTAACATCAAGCCTCAGTGCCTAAAACCCGTAATGAATCTATAGTTTCATGTGTTGGTTGTCTACCTTGCCTCAAAATGTAAATCTGATTAATCAGTAAATGTGGAATTCACATGCCAACTGTTCCACCAATTCAAAGCGAGCAAAATCAAGAGAAAGATATTGCGCTCCCACAGTAAGTTGAGTTATCAATTATACGTAAACACCTCTGCCTAGTGATCTAATTCCTCCACTCCCACTATTGTTGAGGGAACCATAGCAGCTGAACATTCGAAACGTTGTGCCCGAGCCAGACAAGGTCAATGCCGAATGAGCAAAACAACAAATGTGATCACAAAACCAGTCTGACTGTGCTCACGCATGGTTTTAAACCGATCATCAGATGAATATTTTAGGCAGTTTCTTGATGACCGCGAACGGAATGCCTAAACAAGCAACGGGGTTGTTAATCAAAACATCAGTTAAGATTTCTCCTGTCAGTTTCTTTCCATTTTCAAACTGAAGATTCTAGGAGTTTATGTGGTGTCTATACCAGTTAATGGGCGCAACAAACTCCATGTACAGCTTACGCTGTATCCGAAAATCCAAAAAGGTACCTCTTAACATCTGACCTGTTATTCACATTTGACTACTGAATACACTCATGGATGCATACATTGGCTTCCAGGGCTATGCGCATTGTTCGAGTTCCATGGGTTTGTAATTTTATAAAAATTAACGCTGATCCAGCGAACTCTCGGCGATCCGTTCCAAATCTGCCGTGGGAAATATCCTATATCGGTGTCTACTTGCTTTTGTTAGCCGTGTTGTCAGCCAAATGTTTATGAGTCGGAATTTAACTCTTTGCTTTCTAGCTCATCTGGTAGAACGACCGCTATACAGGGGTATGTGAGGTGTCTGTGCGTGAGTTCGTTGTTCATCCGAAGAGGCTGTTGCTAGCTTTGCAATTCATTCACATCAAAATAACACTTCTTAGTGATAAATAAACTTTCAGAAATCATTTGAAAAGTACCATATTCACGTTTTGAGATAAATAATGAAATTAACTAGTTGATGTTCCAGTTGAGAACCTCAAACGTTGTGAATTCTTCTATGTTGATAGTATGCGTATTTACCTAGGGGATTTTGCCATGATACATTTTGTATATGAGTAAAGAAGTCAAAAGCATGGGTTTGCACAATGTATCCATGGTCATTTCGCTGCATCTGTCCACGTGCATACTGCAGTCAAAGTCATTTTTATATAGTCAGTGAGATAACTGCCACATGATTGCTAATCACAACGCACAACACGACACAGTAACACAAAGATGATTAGACAATTTATGGAGGAATTTAACCTAATTCAATAAATCCTACGTGCTATCACCTTGGTTAGGGGCTGAGGAGATTAACGAAACTAGTCAATACGAAAAAGGTTCAGGATAACTTAGATTGGTTGAAAAAGATTTAAACACACAAAATTCACTTTCTGAGCCTAATCAGTAAATCCCTGGACCAGTGAAGAGTACTTGATATATTAACTGCCCCTAACCTTCTGTCCATTCAACAGTTCACTTAGAGAACCTCGGACTCAGGCTCCACTCTCAATAAACGTTATCAGTTTTACACGTACCACAACCAATCCAGACTGCGAACCCTATAGGCTTTGTTTAGTTAAGCTCTCTCGTGCAACTCCGCATATTCAACGAATGGTACATTTTGTTTTACGGTAAACGTCCGGCGGCGGCAAAGTATGCATTTCCCGTTTCGCAACTTCGTCATCACACAATTCAGTTCAACAGATAACTCAAAAATGGCGGTGTTTTACAGCAAATGAATTTCATTGGAGAGATCTTGATTTAAAACGGTGCAAGATTAATAGCCCAAAATGTTTAGTCAGTTTAAATTTTATTTAAAAAGATTGCGCGATCTGGTCTGTCAGCTGGATCAATATTTGTTCTAACTTGAGCAAATACCGTGATAGATATCGGCGTCAAATACAGACAACAACACCAAAGTCGGTTATCCACAGTCCTCCAATGAGGACACTTGATGCAGGGTAGCATACCATAGCACCTGGAGCTTGCCCACCAAAGTGATAAGAAAAAGTGGAATTCGGGGCAAGGCGTGTAGTGCAGACCACCAGTAATTGATGGTTTGAGATGAATGAAAAAAGAAAACCTTAAGCAAAGAAATCGTCAAAAGTGAGTTTCCAATAAAATGAGAACGACCGCGAATTTGAGTTAGAGAGCTTTAACTTGGGAACAAGCGATCAGTTATTGTCAAGTTACCGCCATTTAAATCCATTAGAATTCGTCTACTCGAAAGGCAGCACATTACTTCATACCTGATGGTAAATAAAGTACTGAGTTTTTACATTATTCCACACTGTTGCATTGTTTTCATGGGCCTGTTGAGAAGAGGTTTTCCTTTGTCAGATGTTCTTGAAAATACCTATTTAAATGCAATGGACTTTCTAGAATGATCCTTGCTGTTACTAGACACACTGATGCATCTAACGCTTTCTCCCCTCCTGTGCCTAAAGATATTGCACTTCCTTTGCATAGTTAACTCTGTGGAGCCCTTGGTTACATGCTCCATATGAGCTATTTTTAAAGTCTTATATTTCCGTACTTCTATTCTGCCATATTTATTGCGTTTCTTAATCGACCTGCAAAAACTAACTAATGAAGTGAGGATGCGTTTTGTTTGCTGAATTATTGTTGTTTTATGAATGCAGAAATGTGACCCCTCCCGCCGAGCTGGGAGTATAGAGGTCACACGGACTTGATGTGACATGACTCGAAGGTTTCCATTTGAATTATATAAAGCAGAACACATCGAACATACTAAATTTACTGCAAAGAACAAAGGTCATTGGCAGCTTTCGGTTTGGAAAGAGAAACAGAATGGGGAATGCAGTCGTCCACAATGACAGCCTTGCTGTCGCGTTATAACTGTCTCATACTGATTGAATCTGCAGTTCAAAAATGGTTTTTAGTCAAGTCAAGCCAGTCAAGTCAAGTATTTGCTTTATGCACCCCGAAAGGTGGATATTCAGCAGTCACATAGTCATCTAACAATTATCGAACAAAATTATAGCATGATTATCGTGAGCAATTAAAATGAATATAATTTAAGAGATAACTGAGTAGAGGTCCGAAGCTTTCTGCGCTGACAAGAAATCGGGTAAGATAGGGCACCACAGAAGACCGATAAGCAGTCTTACGAGCAAATATACACTTATAACGGGACCGGGTGGAAGAGGAGGAAACACACTTGATAAGATCTTGATGTAATGGATGTGAAGGGTTATCCAAGATTTTTGTTGATAACGAAAAACATGACTTTGTATGTTGGGAAATGATGAAGTGACAGATAGTTTCACGGGAAATCCCACTGCTTCTAGATAGATGTGTTANCAACATACGTTTCGGTTTATTAACACACCAAGATACTTGACGTTCGGGGGTTGGACAATAGTGTCATTGCCTATGTTCAAAAGGGGACAAGATTCCAAGAGATTAGCATAACGGTTCCCTCTGTGAAAACAAAACAACATGTCTACACATTTAGAAGGATGAAGAGTTAAGTTATGCTCGGTAGACCACTGAGCAAGGTTAGTAAGGCCATGCTGGAGAGTGAGGGTGACAGATACATCAGGGTGGGTAATTCCGACCACAGCATCATCCGCATATTTAATAAGCAGGGAGTTTTGGAAAGTAGGCATGGAT